TGTGAAATGTGTATCCTTGAGTAATTCATTCAGGAGACTGTTAAAGATCTGGCCAGAGAAGCTGTTATGAAGAAAGTTTTACAGGGCTGATAAGTGTTTCTACTGGTGTTAAATATGTATTTTCAGGTCACTTTGTGAAAGGACTAGAGCACAAAAGAAACTTAACAGGATTCATAAGTGTTTTATTTGTAAAATGTAATTTTGGAGGGAAGACTGCACAGGTTTTAAAAGTCTGGTAAGAAGCAGTTAATAATGGATTTTCTCAGGATGTTTGTCTTCCAAAAGCCTATATTTTATTCATATTATTCAGGAGTGATGCTTCTTTACCGTATATTTTTAGGAGAAAATACTTGGTTAGTTATTAGAATTATGGTTGGAGTACACGAAGGAGACTTTTCTTGAATGATTTAAAATGTATATTATTTCAGGTGAAAATACACAAGAAGTTGTAAAACGTCTGCTCAGGGAAGCAATGCACGAGGGAAACTTCTCAGGAGCTTTGTTCAGTCCTGAAGAGAACAGGTTAGAGTGACCATCAGTTTTGTTAATACATCAGATAGATTTCCAAAGTTTTTAGTTAGTCTGTTTGGCTTGCTAGAAAATGAAATTTCAGTCAAATATATTAAATGTGTTTTTTGTAATTAAATGACTGAGCATAGACATAATAGGCTTAGTTGTTTTAACCTATCAAATTACTGTCATGTTTTTCATATCATTCACTAACTGTTGGAGGGGGAGTGGGTCCACACATTGTGTCATATTATGTTCTTGCTTATTATAATAATTAACTGACCAAAACGTTGGGTGGAACTACTCACTTTCTTTGAACAGTAATTAGTGGGGTTAAATTGCAGCATTAATGGTATTTTGATTTAAATCTTTTTTGCGTGACTTGTATGTTATTAAGGACCATGTAATAACAGTCATGAAAACACGACCATTTTCATGCAGAAATAATTTAGAAAAATATGTTTAAAAAAAAGCTGGGCACCATTAGTAATTCTAGGGTTAATTAAAATAATTTTGAAAATTTAACCACTTTTGTTTGATAAGATAGTTTTTATGAATAAAATGTCATAATGAATGTTTTTTTTTTGTTTGTTTGTAGAAGTGCAGAGTACGACGAGTTTGGGTTTAACTGGAAGTGGGGGAAGGAAGAGGATCTCGTCAGTACCAAGGCTGCAAACTTGCAACAAAAGTCGCAGGATATAACGTCAAGGATAAAAGTAAGTTCTAGATGTAAGAAGGAACTCGAGTAGAAATTGTCACGGTGCTTCAAAGTTTATCTAATGTCGGAGATTTTCATAAAAAAAGAATGTTCATATTAGGGAAGTGTAGCATCTATGATCAAAATTTGTGTACTGCTACCAATTACGGATGACATAATCTGTCAGAGTCGATTATTGTCATCACTTCTCTAGTCACAAATTCTCATCCTCTTAGTTCAAAAATAACCAAAACTTTTTTTCAATTTTCTATTCTGAAGTTAGAAAAAAAAAATATAATTTAAGTTCGGCAATTGTATCGAGGTTCTCAGAAATGACATTTTAAAATGATAATTTGTTTTTGTGCACCTTAGATATAGTGTGTTGTTCAGTATTTCAGTTTAATAGAGGAAAAAAATTTTCAGGATCCAGATATAATAGCTTGGAGAGAAAAATGGGAGAACTTCATGGCTAACCAAGGTGGCAGAGAACTACAGAGATCTCCAGAACTGAAAATGCTTGTACGTTCTGGAATTCCACCACATTTCAGAGGAAGAGTGTGGAAGGGGTAAGGCCATCATCATTCAGACCAGGTTTATCAAGAAAAAGTTAAAGTTGACTTTAAAAAGATACAACATATTCTGATACTAAAATAATAAATTGTTTTATGATAATAACTTTAATAAAAGAGTATGAATATGTTAGTTTGTTTATTCCAATTAAGCCAATTAACAAGAAGTTTAGTTTTAAGGTGGATATGTAAAAAGTAAAAAAAATAAAAAATATGTCATTAAAAACTTCTATTAAAGTTTTTTTTTTTTCTAGCTGCATAAATTTGCTGGTTAGGAATATAAGACAACGGCAGGGCTCTGATTACTACAAGAAACTTTTGTCTATAAGCACTGGTACTGCTCGTCTTGATCCTGCTGCAAAACAGGTGAGTATCATTGTAATTACACCTCAGCTTAAAAAATAAATTCAGGGCTTGCAAGATAGTACAGTGCTATTATCACATCTTTGGATGAGTTAAGTTTGTAATGCTGCTTGTCTCTAGGATATCCTCCACTAAATATTTTAGCTTTAAGTACACAACTCAACTACTATGATCTTTGGATGAGTTAAGTTACTTCAGTGTCTTATTTTAATGTTTTTGTGGTAATATCGGTATAAACAGAGGTACACCAAAATTTAAATGTAGTCACTCGAATTAACATACAAATTGTAGAAACTTCCAAAATATCTATAAATAAATCCCTCTCTGCCCATTAACAAAGTTAATGAGATACAGTTGTTTAGTCCAGGGTTTTCTTATGTTGAAATTTGAAACCAGCTCAAACTTTCAAGTGTTGTAGTAGAAAAAAAAAAAATTCATTTTTCTTTTTATTGTTCAATATTTCACTACTTATCTTTTTTATGCCGCATCACGTACGACTCAATAAGAGCCAAACTGACACGCAGACTTGAGTAAAGTTCGTCATTTTTTCTGACAGATTGAACTCGACTTGCTTCGCACCCTACCAAACAATAAGCATTATGAGTCCTTGGATGCTAGTGGAGTTGCTCCGCTCAGAAGAGTTCTTCTTGCTTATAGCAGACACAATCCAGCTGTTGGATACTGTCAGGTCAGTTATAACTTATAAACCACCTAATTTACTCTGTTCGGGTCAATAATGGATAACTTTCCAGGTGTAACTTTAAAATAGTTCTATTTAAAGTAAGAAATAAGTTGTATTTCATTGTAAAGTTTCCATTCTTTGAAAATTTATGATGATTTAAAAGTGCTTTGTGTATAGAAAATATAAACTAGCTCCTTATATTTATGAATTAACTCCTTGTATTTACAAACTAGCTCCTTATTGTACTTTCCAAGTAACTCCTTTGAGAATTACTGACTAATAACAGCAGAAGAGTGGAGAAAGATTGTAGATCAGACTGCTGAGGCAGCCACGTGTGAAATATGACAATGCCTGAGAATGAAGAGAGAGGGAGCTCTTCTTTAGAAGGATTGTTATTTTGTGAAAAAAAAGAAGAAAAGAAACCTGACTAAAGTTATTAGATATGTGTTTGAAAGCTAATAATATTTCACATATGTATATATATATTATCTCTTTTATATCCAAATATTTTGTTGGCTGTTGCATCGAATGTCATTATCTCATAGTTTTGTAAGTTTGAAGAACAGTTTACTTCTGATCATAGTTCTAGAAAGTCTTCCAACATACCTCTGTAACTGCTTGATTAGTGTATAGAGTATTCTTTACTAAGTTTAATATTTGTGTGTGTGTGTGTGGTGTTGAAATGTCGGGAGCTGTGATTCAGCAAGCAGATTTAATATGAATTCCATTTCATCAATAGGGAATTAACCGATTAGCAGCCATTGCTCTGCTGTTCATGGAAGAAGAAGAAGCATTTTGGTGTCTTGTTGCTATTGTGGAGTACATCATGCCTCCAGATTACTATAGTAAAACACTTCTAGCATCCCAGGTAGATCAGGTAAGTTCCTTCTTATTCCTGCATTCACATTACTACAGTAAAACACTTCTAGCATCCCAGGTAAGTTCCTTCTTATTCCTGCATTCACATCACTATAGTAAAACACTTCTAGCATCCCAGGTAAGTTCCTTCTTATTCCTGCATTCACATTACTATAGTAAAACACTTCTAGCATCCCAGGTAAGTTCCTTCTTATTCTTGCATTCACATCACTATAGTAAAACACTTCTAGCATCCCAGGTAAGTTCCTTCTTATTCTTGCATTCACATTACTATAGTAAAACACTTCTAGCATCCCAGGTAAGTTCCTTCTTATTCCTGCATTCACATTACTACAGTAAAACACTTCTAGCATCCCAGGTAAGTTCCTTCTTATTCCTGCATTCACATTACTATAGTAAAACACTTCTAGCATCCCAGGTAAGTTTCTTCTTATTCTTGCATTCACATTACTATAGTAAAACACTTCTAGCATCCCAGGTAAGTTCCTTCTTATTCCTGCATTCACATTACTACAGTAAAACACTTTTAGCATCCCAATTAGAGCCCTCATCAGTCAGTAATTGTTTATTCTTTTGAGAGAGTATTAAAAGGTATTTATATTATTACAAGTTAAGGCATTTACAGATTCCATGTTTCAATCACTGGTGCAATCATTCTCAAGTACCCAACTTTTTTTGAGAATGATCGCATCAATGATCAAAATCTGCCCTAAAAAATAATCTTAATTAATGTAAAAGTTTTAACTTGTACTAAAAAAATACTTAATCAGTAAGTAAACTCAAAATGAAACTATTAACTAAATGATCCATTATCAGAGAAGAATTAATTTGTAGTAACTGTTTATTGTTTTTTAGAGAGTATTAAAGGATCTGCTATCAGAAAAACTTCCAAGATTACACAACCACCTGGAACAGTGCAACGTAGATCTTTCTCTCTTTACTTTCAACTGGTTCCTAACTGTATATGTTGACAACATACCAGTAGAGACGTATCTTCACATCTGGGACGTCTTCTTGTTTGAAGGTAGTAAGGTTAGTCGCACGTAGTGTTGCACTAGGATTTAGCTCTCGTGCAAGGAAGTGGGAGCTGTGAGAATGTCAGCATGATATTTATAAGAAAGAAAACATGTTTATGCCATGTTACAAATTTTTTTTTTCTCTTCAGATATAAAGTCTTCATTCTTTTTAAATTAAAGAAAAAATTTAACAGTGAAACTAGTAGTAAAACTCTGTATTCCTAATGTGGTTAATACATGAAGTTACAAGATTTTATAGATTGATCAAATTATAATCTAATTTATTCTAGGAAAAAAATAATAATTGTTTAGAAAAGCTCCCGGGTAAAAAGTAAAATATTTAAAAAAATTCCAGTGTTTATGAGAATTTCTAGAATTTTCAGTTGAATATTATATGCTTTTTTTCTCCAGGTTCTATTCCATTTTGCTCTTGTGTTTCAGTTGAATATTATATGTATTTTTTTTTTATTTTTCTTCAGGTTCTATTCCGTTTTGCTCTTGCGTTTTTCAAGATCTGTGAAAATGATCTTCTTCAGTTAACAGACTACATGGCTGTAAACCGTTATCTTCGGAATGTGTCGGAGAAAATTATTGATTATAAACGTCTTGCTCAAGTAAGTCTTATGAGGTTAAGTAAATTTACGTTATGTATTTCAGAAAATGTCCGCATTCGTGCGTGTGTCTTTGTTTCGATGTACGTATCTCAAAACTAATAGACCGATGTACATGAAAATTTTGGATCACTTTGAGGCATTTTTGTGGTTTTGGGTTAATAACTATAAAGTGAGATCAGATTTGTACCAAATTTCATGGTCACATTTCTGAAGGTGAAATTTGAAGTTAATCTAATATGAATGCATTTAATTTCTGTGATTGCTCTTGTTATGGTTATAAGTGCGTTGAATTTCATGAATCAAAGAGAGCTTGAAGTATTTTTGTCAAGGCTTTTCACATCTACTATTAACTCTCAACACGTGACCTCTTTGTACTTGTTTAATACAGTGTATATCTTAACAAAATTTAGCAGTCTTTCAGTTAATATCATAAATTTTATTGTTTTTTTTGCCCTTTGAACCGTGTCTAACTACTATCTGCGCCATTATAAGTTGTAAATCACTCTGGGAACGTGCAGCTCACGTTACGCGAATGAATTACATTGCTCACGTGCGTGTCTCGTGAAACATTTTTCTTATAATATTATTACTATTTATTTTACCTAACCTAAAATTATCCCTATTTTTACATTTTAGCTACTTTTATAATTATACATGAAAAACAAGAAATAAGATGCTTAACCAATCTTCTTTTTTTCTTGCAGTCAATTGTCGAAGAGAGTTAACCCTAATTATTTTATACTAATGCACTTAATAATTTTTATTTAACTAAATAATGTACCAAAAAATATAGACTAATAACATGGAAAAAAGTAGACAAATTCCCATACCCCTAAAACAATTTTCTGGCTTTTATACTATGCGACAAGAGTCGTTACAAATTCATCCAAGAAAGTCGTCAACTTTCTCACGGGAACGATGCTGGTGCTGTGAGTGAAATTAACATTTAACCACTCAGAACATAACCATATACAATATGTCATTTGATAAATGAAAATCTTGACTTTCTATTGGATACAGATAATATATATCTAAACATAAGAGAGAACAACAAATTCTGAAAAGTAGGCATTGAAGGAGGGGGTCTGATTTTCTCTTCGATAGCTTTGTAACAAAACAATTATGGTTTGTCTGAGTAACTTACGTTTAATTTCGTACCTTTTTGAGGGGTGGTGGATAAAATAGGGAGATGACACGGCAAAAGAAAATGTGTCACATGGGTCACACTAGGGAAAATTCAGGATTTTTTTTCAAATATTGCCTTGTAGAATTAAGAACTTAACTTGTATACTATTAAAATACGGATTATTAGCTAAGATTTTATCCTATTCTAATTGGTATAATATAAACGAAAAGTAGTTTAATAAAATTTTGAAAGTAAGACACTAAAACCTTGTGTCACGTTCAGTAAAGGATACCCGTGGCAATAGGGCTAAAAGAACTTAAGTTTGTTTCCAATTGCTCTTTTTTGAAGGATTTAAACTACATCTCTGTAATAGTTTATTCAACAAGCCTAAACTTTGTTAAAAAGATAACAGATGTTGTTCAATATTCCTATTAATTTGTCCATTTTCTATTCAAAATCAGAAACAAATAAAAATAGCATTTCAGCTCTATCTCTTGTCTCCCACAAAGAAAGTTGTCTTTTTTTTTTCAGGTGGCTTTCAATGACCTGAACCCATTCCCCATGAGAATGATCAATTCCAAGAGGGCTCAGCATGTGCAGATAGTCAAGGTATAGTCAAAATACAGAGAATTGTTTATAATTTATAGTAATGACATAACAGACTAAAAGCTCTGATCCTTTTATAGCAATTGGCTTAACCCTTTAAACACTTTTCTGAGTTACTTTCAATGTATGTTATGAGATTCTGAGTTTTAAGTCCTTTATTTAAAAAAAAAACTACTTAAAAATTCAGATGTATTTTCACGTGACTCACAAACTATGAAAAAATTTAACTTTGACACTCTCAATTCTTGTTTAAGACAATGCCAGTAGTGTAGATGTATGTCTAGACAATAGTCATTCACTTGCCCTATTGACATGTTTGTTCCAAACTTCTCTAGATGAATGCAGTAATAACAAGTAATAAAATTTGTCAACCTCTGACGGGTACCACACCCACCTTCTATACATTTGCGTGAGCCTTACAGCCTATATGTAGAAGTTACATACACATATATGTAGTCGGTAGAAAGAGCTCGTTTTACACTGTAATCGATCAATGGTTATTTTAACTGCTTGATCAATGATAGCACTTATGGTTATTTCTTACCTAAATATGTTATATTTAAGGAGACAGTTAAATTATATCTTAGTTAATTATGTTTTAAAATATACATCACACTTTGCGTCAGATCTTGTAATTATACTCCGACGGCACCATTGACTGAGATGAGTAATAAAAGGAAAGTAAAACATTAAAAATTAACTATACGTGAAAAGGAAAAGATCTGAAATTATGAATATAACTAAAAGAAAATATTCTACAAATAATTAAAGGTATGTATATTTTCCGTTTCTTAATTTTAAACATTTCATTGCACTGTATGTTGATGACAAAATGTAAACATTTAGGAGGTTATGCAATTAAAATCACCTTGCACTTGGTTTATTAAGAATTTGAAAATAGCTACTATAAATAAATTAAAATAACACATCATTTGTGTGAGGATAATGTTAAGAAAACTTAGAGTTACAGTGTGTATTGTTGCAGAAGTAAAATTCCCAGTACAGCACCCTGCAAATTTTGGTGATCTATGCCGAAAGGAATAATATTGATATACTCATGGTACATGTTTATTTCACAAAAGGGAAATAAATTAACAGCCAATTGGAAAACCCTTTTCTTTCTCTGTCGATTAATGAGTGCAATGTCATACTAAACCAAAGTGTATTTGGATAGGTATATACTATGTTTAGTAATTATTTATAATATAAAACCATTAAGTTGTTCAAAATCCCATAACAAAAAAAAAAAAAGTTTGCATATATTATACATTAACATGTATTTAAGGATGAGGCCTCAATTTTCCAACTGAAAAAAAAAAAGTTTAACTACTGTATCACTTTCAGACTGCCAAAAGAAAAACAACTTTAATCTGATTATTATCAATTGTATCAGCTGCACTCTATGGTGGTTACGTTTATAACAGAGATAGACTTTGGAAATTTGTTGTAAGCTTACTTTTTAATGACTTTCATTGGAAACAACAGATTAGGGTTTCTCAATATTTGTAATGTAGTGTTATATTAACATGAACTTCCCATGTGACTAGCCCTGGAAAAGGGGTAGGTGTAGAATAGAACCATATATATATTGTTAAAGAGGATAATTCTCACAGATTTAGGTCTATGCATGCTATGCCATTAAGCACAGGAAATAGTTGTAAGATCTAACCACTCGTCCTTATATCCTCTCCAAAGTCGATATGATTCCTTCTTTAAAAAAAAACAATCGAGTTATTTCTAGCATGATTTTATTAATATAAACTATGTACATAATTTGACACTTAATATTTGTTATTCGAGCTGTAAGATTGTCTTCATTTTAGGCTCAGCTGGAGGAGTTAGAAGCCTTGCGAAGCAACTTTCCAGTGTATGATGAAGAGGTATATACAAAAGGAGATCTTTCGCCTAGTGATGAAGACTAGAAGAAAAATAAATAATGTTAAAATTAACAAAACATTTTATCATAAGTTCTTTTATGTTTCCTCTCACAGAAGTCGAACACCAAAATTTGGAAACCTCACATTTAATTTATAGTCCATTTGGTGTTGTAACTTATGGTTCTAATTTTAGGTTTGATGATACTGTAAGTATTGAAGACCATGACATCTAAAAATGCTATAATTATTATATAAAAGCTGTGATTTTCTTTAGTATAAAGTATTATGTCCCTAATATATTAAATGGCTACTGATACGCTAATCTTATATCATGTTCTATTTTAGGTCAACAAGGTGTTAAATTGAAATTTTTCCACCATTGAAAACAATGCGTTTGTTTTTTTTATGTCACAAGGTCCTTACATGCATTGTTTTATTACTTTGAAATCATATTGTTCATTAATTTACACTACATGCTTAGGAGGAGTAAAGTTGACGAGTCATTGTCACAATGTGTATCGAACACAAGGCTCTAACGATCATTGTTGAATAACTACCGTTCTTAATTACCATTCCTTCCTGCTTACAGAAAGAGAGAGAGAGATCACAAAAGCGAAGATGTATTGCACACAAACTTATTTTAAATGCTGGTATGTATTCTTTCTGTGATAATTGAATGACATTTCCCGTTATTAAGGAGGGTTGCACTCGTGATATATGGAAATGATAGTTCTGTACTGGGCTAATAAAGTATGGGTAAGGGATTTTACTGTCAATGCTTTATTTTGTAAACTTTTTTTTTGAAAGTATTCAATAAACTTATACTGATATAGTTGTAGTTGATGGTTCCACTTACCTTCTGAGTGAAGAACAAACTTCTTTACACGTCTGTTAGCCAGTGCAAATAGCTGGATCGTCGACTCTACGGAATACTGCCAAGAATTTCTCTCCCTGATTCCGAGTGACTTTCTTCCCTTCCTCGGAACTTTCAAAAAGCTGATTTACTACAATGTCACCTTTCTGAAAATTTAATATATTTTTAAGACAACTTGAACCAAGAATTTGGGGAACTATGACTAATAGGAGCATACATATATATACATATATATATATATAAGTACAAATATTACTACTACTCAGTAATATAGTAACAACAATGGATTTATACTGGGTGCAGGGCAACACCACTGAAGCATTAAACTTAACACACAAAAAGTTTTATCGCATCATGCATAATATATTAATAAGAAGTAGCTGAACCTACTAGTTCGGACTCTTGAATCTGCTCAAACAAGGGATGTGTTGTAAAATGTTGTACCATCCAATCATGAAGGTCCTTAACGTCTGTCACAGTGTAAGCTAATCCCTATGGAATATTGAACTTGAAGTTAATGTACAAGAATAACTTCACAATGCACGTGCTCTATGGGTATATGAATTTCCAATGACTTTATTAGATTGTTACTGAACATAACTTTACTGGGACAGGTTCCTACATTCTCGGCCCACTGTAACAATGACTTTATTAGATTGTTACTGAACATAACTTTACTGGGACAGGTTCCTACATTCTCGGCCCACTGTACTTACCCCTATTTTAAGCACATAGGCATATTCTGTCAGTAGTTGTGGGCTAATAATCCTCCATTTATGCTTCTGTTTCTTGAAGTGTGGGTCTGGAAACAGGAAGAATATCTTGGTGAGCTGTTGAGGAAAAAAAAATAATGTAATGATTATATAATCAGTTGGCCATCTGTATAATATCAAATAATGAATTAGGTGTAATGTTCTAACATTATTAATTTACCTTACTATATGGTGATTTAAAATGAAGTTTTGTTTAGAACTGAATTTCCGGGTTATTCATCGTTAGCAGTATATTACGCGAACAATCCGGATAACCCCGACTTCTCTTCGTACCTGACCTTTGTAGAAATAATTTGGCAGATATTTCATGGCATTAGTTCGTACACAAGCAATGTTATCATACTGTCCAGGATTCTGGGCTCGTAGTGCTTTAATTCTGTCTTGGACGTAGTCTGAAACTTTAACTCTGATTTCCATGCCCAGCATTAAGGTTTGTGGAAACAAAGGAGAAAGTGCTACTGAATAGAGAGAAAAAAAAAATATTATTAACTTCTGCTCACAGCAAGCAAGCTACTTACGTTGATCAGTATTGAATGTAGCTAATTTAATTTACCAGTCTTACTCGCACTAATTAAAATAGATTGTTACCACTTGGTAAATGCACCTTTCTTGAAACTGTCATCTTACACTTGGTGGGATGATTCCCTCTTGTGTGCACACACAACCCCCCAACCAAGATATGCATTATTATAACAATAAATCATAGTTTCTTGGTTTACCCTACCCTTTAACCACTTTAATGTCATTAGAGTGACAATTCCATCTGATACGATACAGTGTAAAATAATCAAGGTCATATGGACACAAGTTTGGACATTTTTGTGTGTCCTCTTCGATTTGACAAAAGTTTGACTGAATAATAAACAGTGTATGTAAACAAACTTGTTATTCCCTAATAGTGGATCTCCTACAGTCACTTAAATATATATATATATATAAGCATGATGTTAACGTAGAAGGTTATGTTACATTTAAACTTGCATGTGTTTACCTTTATAATAGTTGTATTAAAACAGCTGTGTAAGTGGTAAGAAAAACTGATTTAATGTTTTACAATATTTAATTCAATATTCCTTTAACCACCAAAAATGTGAATGAATAGATTCCGAGCTGTACAAATTGACTGTCATAATCAGAGTCCTATCAAGTTTTGTCTGCAATAGAAAATGAAGTGATAACCAAGACTGTAGCAGATTGGCCATCAGAGCTTCGATTCCTGTCTCAGTTTTAACTTTAGAAAAATTATAATGTTACTTCAAGATGGTGGGACACCCAACAAAATAATATATTCATCTCAAAAATGGATATAAATGAGTTCCAAGTCTTATAAGCTGAGTGGCACAGTTTAAAAAGACCTGATTCCACCAAAGAATGGAATAAATGAGTTCCAAGTCTTATAAGCTGAGTGGCACAGTTTAAAAAGGCCTGAATCCACCAAAGAATGAAAATAAATGAGTTCCAAGTCTTATAAGCTGAGTGGCACAGTTTAAAAAGGACTGATTCCACCAAAGAATGGATATAAATGAGTTCCATGTCTTATAAGCTGAGTGGCACAGTTTAAAAAGGCCTGATTCCACCAAAGAATGGATATAAATGAGTTCCAAGTCTTATAAGCTGAGTGGCACAGTTTAAAAAGGCCTGATTCCACCAAAGAATGAAAATAAATGAGTTCCAAGTCTTATAAGCTGAGTGGCACAGTTTAAAAAGGCCTGCAAATTTATGACGTGGTAGATCAGTTGGCTAAAGCAACTGTCTGATTGGGTCCAGTTCCGTAACAACCACGTTGTTTAAAAACACACACACACAAAGTTAACCTTGAAATATTAATTTCAGAAAATGTTTCTAATGCTTTAAATATAATTACTATATAGTAGTGACATTAATTTATCCATAACGACACTACATGATCTTGTTTTCTCTCGGTGTCTACTATACTGAACAGCAGTGCAAGGTAGCAAAAAACTTGAAAATGCCTTTCCACTGTTGTATATTTTGGTTGCACCAATAAACAGGGTTCAGAAATGTGCTGTGCCCATTATGGGACAACTGAGGGGGGGGGGCATCAGACAAGTTAGCATCACGAGTAGTTGTCTGAGCCACCAGTAGAATAGGCCAAACGATAGAATCATCCGTATAAAGTCCTCTCAACTTGTTTTCAAAAGACATTTTAGCATAATGTTCATGAATCGGAGCACATTCATTGAGATTTATTGCTACCATAATCACAAAACAATGGACGGCTTGACGTCCCAAATGGTGAATCACGATGTTACACTTCCTGTAAATCACATGATCTGGAAAGGACCATTTTTAATTTTGTAAATTGATACATTTTCGACAGACAAAGTACACATACTGTTGTTTTTGTGTAATTTACTGTTCACAATACTTTGAACGTCAATCAATCGTGCAGTCTTTTCTGTATGAAGCCTGTAGAAACTTTCAGTGCCAAATATCTCGGCATCCAAGAGCCTGAGTGCCAATAGGCTGGTGGCCGTAGGTAAAAAAATACAAATGTAACAGTCTAAAGTAACTCGCCACCACAACCAGGGTTGAACCGAGTAAGATAAAAACACAAAAGAGAGACTTTCAAACTATTGAAATACTAAGTTGATAACTTAATATAGCACAGTAAAGAAATATGTACCTGGCCAGGACTTGAAACTAACATTAATGGTCAATACAATATATATAAATCCAGATTAATAAATATTTCAATAAATAAAGGAATCAGGAAAAAACAACAGTCAAATAAAAACCTGATTCTAAAATAACAAAATTCCATATTTAAACTATAAAATCACTAACAACGTCGAGTAATAATACTATTCAGCTATATCTGGTGAACTAACTTGTTAAACTTCAATGTAGGGTTTTTAATTCACTTGTTAGATCATGAGATAACAAACAATGTGATTGTAATTGACATAATCCTGTGTAAACTATCTGTACATCACCACTAGAGGAAACTGATGTCTCAAAATAAATGAATGATAAAAGAAAACATAACCATATAAAAATAGAATTTGCTATCTCACACAAGTCTTTACAAAATTATGTAAATTTGAACTTTCTTTACAATATTTAATGAAGATTCAAATACTGCACCAATTCAATTAAATTATAAATGTTTATAACAACAAATTCCCAGACGTGAGGACACTTTGTTAAGCACCATGGTAACCTGACACCTAGGATTTGGCTATCCCTGGCCCTGACTAAGTGTGTGTGTACTAAAACAAAATAAAAGGAGAAAAAACTGGTACCACAAAATATGATAAATCGGTGTTCAAATGTTCACAACGTTTTGAGTGAGGACACTTTGTTAAGCACCATGGTAACCTGACACCTAGGATTTGGCTATCCCTGACTAAGTGTGTGTGTGTACTAAAACAAAATAAAAGGAGAAAAAACTGGTACCACAAAATATGATAAATCGATGTTCAAATGTTCACAACATTTTGAGTGAGGACACCGTTCTTCTGGATGATTATAAGCCAATGGTTTCATCAAAGATTAAAATATCCAATGAAAGAGCACTGCAGCCCAAAACATTTATTTGTGGTATAAGTTTTTTTTTTATTTATTTAATTGTACTACAGTAGCCTTTGTATGACTTTTTATCTAAGTACATCAACTAATTCTGAATTTTTTGATACACCTCCTTATGCTTGTGCAATAAAACAAACTTTTCTCACAATATGAATGGCCAGAGTAACATAATTCAAGCTTTAACAAGATTTGTGTAAAAAAAAACAAGATGTGCACACACACACACACTATATACAGGTTAGTTTCATTTGATAAACAATTTACATGTAGCATATTTGAAATAAAATTCTATGTTATGATTTGTCTGTTTATTATTTTGTGGTAACAACATTTAACATTACCATAAACATAGTGTCTTTTAAAGTTAAACATTTAACATTACCATAAACATAGTGCCTTTTAAAGTTAAACATTTAACATTACCATAAACATAGTGCCCTTTTAAGTTAAACATTTAACATTATCACAAACAGAGTGCCCTTTTTAAGTTAAACATTTAACATTATCACAAACATAGTGCCTTTTTAAGTTAAACATTTGACATTACCATAAACATAGTGCCTTTTAAAGTTAAACATTTAACATTACCATAAACATAGTGCCTTTTTAAGTTAAACATTTAACATTACCATAAACATAGTGCCATTTTAAGTTAAACATTTAACATTACCATAAACATAGTGCCTTTTAAAGTTAAACAGACCAAAAGTGGTAAAAGACGAGTAAGTTACCCAACAGTCCTCCATAGCCACAACCAATATCAGCAAACTCAACCCTCTTCTCTTTCTCTGGTGGTGAACAGAAAGCTGGATAGTAGGAAGACCAGTCCATGCGACCTGGGGATACTGGGCTGGACAGATGTAGAGAAACTAATATTAAATCAACAAAAGATCGTGTTTGGTCAAGAACTAGGAGGCAAATATTTTCTTCCAAAAATGCTCTACGTGAAATTTCTCACGAAAATCAAGCGAAAAGTACTGCATATAAAAAATTATTTTTCAAACTATGCCACGATAAATACTGACTAGTTATAATATTAGTTAATATAGAAGTAAATTGTTTGTAATTAATACACTTCTCAGTTAACCCAAGCCTATTCTTTTTTATAAACTATGAATACATCTTTAAAGCTTTGAATATTATAGACAAGCAAGCCCAAAGAAGTCATCATCAAATTGCTTAAGCTTCAAATGACTTAAAATTATTTTATAACAAATGTTTTAAATTGTGGAGATGGATATTTAAGTTTCAATTAAAGTACAAAAAAATGCCTGTTGCCATTTTCTATAAGATCCCTGATCAAGTTGCTGATATTGAGTACAAGTCAAAAATAGGTAATAATTTCACAACAATGTTAAAGAGTTATTGGAGAATAGTCACCGGAGATGTTGTCATATGTAGGTGGCTTGAAATTTCTTAGCATGTTTTTTTGATGGAGAGAAGAGGGGCTCAGAGGAACATGACTGAAGTTTTTAGGATGAAATTTTCTTTAAAAAACTTGCAAATAATGAGACTGAGGGACAAAAGTTTAACAAGAGATGTAAAAAATCTTGGATACAATTCCAGTTAAGGCATCATTATCTTACTAATAGGGTGGTAAACTTATGAAATAAGTAGAAGCTGTAACATTTACGGTGTTCAGGAGGAGGCTGGATGAGTATTTTAGTGATAAGGTTTGAACGTGGAAAAAAGGGGTTTCTATATGTAGTCTCGAGTAAGGTGACTGTAGCAAACCCAGAGTCTAGATAAACCAAATAGCTTCTTGTTGTCCCTTAAAAATAAAATGAAGTGATGGAAAAAATGTAGGTATCTACACTTGTGTATTTTATGTCATCTCAGATGTGGGCAAAAAAATGCTTCTTAGAGTTATCACTTCACATTCTTCCCTCAACCAATTTGAACACAATGGGCTTGAAATTAAGTTTGTTTCCATGGTAATGAGTTTATACTGATACAACCATTTAGATGTTGATCTCGAATATTTTCCCATGTCCGTAACTTTCTTTTTTTAATTAAGTGTTTAAAAGGTATATTATTGATGTTTATCGTGCACCGTTCTTCAGAATAAACACTGTAGTCTTAACGATTGACACTGATGAAGTTAGCTCAAAATCGTGGCATGCTTTAAGCCAATAAATTTAAGTAAATAAAACAATTTCTTTCTAGCACTGAAGAGGATATACTTATTCATATTACACAAAAATATCTGGGTAATAGTGATGTATTTAACCGTCACATCCTTGGTTTGAAGAATGAGGACTTTAAGCAAGTTCAAAGTATGATAGAAAAAACTGGGAGACTAGTCCATTTGAAAAAAATATATAAATAAAACTTGAAAAATTCGTATTAGTTTAGTTTATTACTTTTACAGTTCAAATGATGGGAAAGACAAACTATACTAATTGACTGGTAGGTATTTCAATGAAAATAAATTATTTTTTCAAATAATCAATCAACGGGGGGTGCTCGAAGATTGACCAATCTTCCTTCGCCCCCACTCGAGGATTAGGAAATGATATGGTCTTGGTTGTGATATTAAAAACTAAAGTGGTTACGTTGGTTGTATAGAAATAGTGTCATTGTACATAACACTAACACTAATAAACAGCCAAGGGAAGGAGCACAAATGAATGCTGAACAAAGTTTTTAAATTGTTTTAGCTCATAACTGATCATGGATAGAATGATTAGGAGAAGTCCTTACACAGAGAAGAAATGTAAATAATAGCTCTATTGATCACACATTACCAAAACATGTGGTCTTTTCAATTTTATACCAATTGGTCATCCTGTTTACCAAAAATTGCTATATTGGTCACTTTGGCTTTAAAGCTTAGCCAGTCTTTTCCAAATTTTAAACTTGTCTTCTCTCATCCTACTTTCTTCAGAAAAAAAGTGAATACACTTTCAACTGAGTGAGAAAAGATGGTTCCTTCTTTAAGCTTAGATTTTTTTTTTTAAATCAAATGACTTTAGGTGTAGTTTGGTGCACTGCAAGGTTATGATTTTGGACATTTTTTCCTGTTGGTACCATATCTTACCTACACTTAAGCTAAACAAACAGAAGTACTGAACATTTATTCTAGGTGATATGCATTAGTTCTCTAAACCATAAGTGCACTCTTTTTTTGTGTAAACTAAAACAACAAAAAATTCAGAAATTATCACTACGAGTTATTTATAAGCATCACTGATTAGAGTTTTTTTATTTAGTTCAAATTATACTGAAAGCAGCTAGGATGGAGCAAAATTTAAAATAACCTTGTGTTTCTTCTTCTAAATCAATAAATTCTATGTGAATGAACAATTATAGTAAACAGGGGAAGTTTCATAGTGGAATACAATTTTTTTTTTTAAACCAAGAAGCATGAGATCAAGAATATCACTGGTGTGTGAACACGTGAAGATCAGAAAATAAGTGTTAATTCAGATGGGAAAAGCAACTGTGTAAATATACAAGAACTACACTAAAAAATCTCACCAAGCACTAAAGAACACAAATGTACTTTCTTCTGTTAATATGATTGTATAATTTTTTTTTAAATCACACACGTTGACTGCTGGTATGCACAAAGAAAAATACACTGGATTCTCTAAAACATTTCAAACATAAGGATATCTTTGTACACCCACCTTTGAGAAAACTTAAACCTATCTTTTATTTCTAAGGAAATTATAGATTCTCTTTTTAAACTCTTGTAAAATGCTATCCTCTACTGCTGACAGCAACTCAGTCTATAAGGCAATCACCCTACCACAAAAACAAAACTGCCTTAATTAAGCCTAATCGTTTTTTTTCCAAACCTTAAAATAATGAATAAAAAATGACAAAATAGAGAACAAATTCAATAACTAATGTGTGTGAAAAGCAAAATATCAAACATGTTCCGACTAATACAGCATATTATTTTTCTAACTGTGCTTATTCTTTTTTTTAATATTTTTCTTAGTTTAAGTTTGTATAATATTAAGTTAAGCTTCTCTGAATCTATGTGTAATGTGCTCTATCCCATAATCTCTTTATAATATATATCCTTCAATTTTGCAGAACTGTGGAAAAGTATGTTGTGCCATAGGCTACTTTATGAATTAATGTTATACTTTTAGTTATACGAAATTCTGTATAATTTGACTTTTGTTTTAATTCAAAAAATATATTTAACTTTTAAGAAAAATCAAAGTGTCAACAAATGATACAAAATCTATTTCTGCTGCTTGTACTTCACTTTCTGAATAAACACTTTTAACATAAAAAGTTATTCATGACATTCATAAGTTCTTTGACAAGGTGTTACCGCAATCATTACACAATGACAGCAGTGTTCAGTACAGTATTCTCCACCTTCCTCGTTACATTAGGCCTAATTGAGAGGTTTGTTAAACTTTACAATTTACAAACTAAGAAATAGGTATCTAACATTATGAAAGTACAGGAATATATATATTACACATATAAACTAAACTTACTAATTAATACAGTGGTCTGCAATAGGATTTGAATGAGCACGTTGACGATAATAACGTTTCTGTGGAAGTTGAGGTTTCATGCTACTAGTATTTTCTTCCATGTTAACATGTGTAGTTACTGTAGTTTGATAAATATACAACAACGCCACCTCTTGGTAAGATAGCGATGAACATAAAAGCACACTTATATATATATATACATTTTTGTATCACATAAAATCTGTTGGAGCAAGTGAAAAATGTCTGTATTGCAAGAAAATAATGTATAACAAAATAAAACGATTTGAAACACAGTTTCGTTTTGAGTTTACTTACTGAATAATTATATTACAAGTTACAGCTTTTACAGTAAGATTTGTTTTAGAACAGGTCCGACGTTTTGATCACTGGTACGATTATTTTCAAGTACACAAGTTTTAACGGTAAAGAACGTTTTAGTATTTAAAGCAACATTCAACCATCTATTTAAATTCTAGAAATGATAGTGGTTAGTTATGCATGTGCATATCAATCCGCATGAATTAACAAATTATTTATTTATGGCATAACAGAAAAAAACAACCAAACTGAATAAATATAAAAAAACTATGGAATATTTTATGTAAAACATTTGCATAAGATTAGAAATATGTGAGGAAATAACGTCGTTATTTGTTATTAAGAACAAAGCTACACAAAGGTCTATCTGTGCTCTGCCCACCACGGGTATCGACACGCGGTTTCTAGCAGTATAAGTCCGCAGATATGCCGCTGTGCCACAGGGGGGGGGGGGCAGGGAAGTAAGATCAAAGACATATAGAGATGTGCCTGGGCAGTTGTTAATTGTGGGATTGTTTGATTTTACTAATAAAGCTTCTCTGATTTGTACTATGTTAATGTCAGGTTCGTGTTTTAATACTGTGACATTCTGTTCCTTCGTACTTCTTTCAGTTACACGGACTTGCCATGGGAAATCCATTATCGGGTACTTTGGCCACACTTTTGTTAAATCACATTGAACAACATGTCATAGTCATTTCCATATATAAGTCTGCATTTAGGCTTAGATTTGTGGATGACATTTTTTGCGGCTTTACTTGTCAAAATAAACAAACAAAATTTCTCCAACACATAAACAACCTACATAAATACATACAATTCACAGTGGAAAATGAAAACAACTACATGATAAATTTTTTAAACGTTAACATCACACGAATCCCCCAAGGCTTCACCACTAAAATTCATAGAAAAAACATATACGGCGAAAATTTATATAAACTGGTTTTCTAATTATGTAATCCACCAGAAGCTCTAAAAAGCCTCCTACATTTAAGATACACTATATGCACCACAGAAAACATTGATGAAGACGCTGCGCACTTAACTCAATACTTTACTAATGTCAATCAGTTCCCTGCTAAAGTAGTTACAGAAACTATTGACAAACTTATAAAACAGAGACAAGAAACATTTAACAAACAAACGAACTCAAGCACTCCACAAAACATAGGAAACCTAATCACTTGCATTATCGCATATATAGAAAATATTAGCACACCTCTATCAGAAATTTGGAAAAGACTGGTACATAACGCTTAGATTCGTTTTCACCCCTGGAATGAAAATTAAACACGTGTTAAGAAAATCATATAACTAACCCAACACACCAGGAAACATTTACAAAATACATTGTAAAAATTGACCAACCTTTTACATAGGTGAAACTGGACGTAACTTGGAGATCAGGTTAAAAGAATACCAACAAAAACCCTTCCCAGTCCACGAGTTTTTCTGAACAGAATGTCACAGCACTAAACCATGAACCTGCCATTAACAGAAGAAAAATCAGAGAAGCTTTATTAATAAAATCAAACAATCTTACAATTAACAAATACCCAGATACTATACGTCTCGCCTCCCAGCGGTATGTCTGCGGACTTATAATGCAAGAAACCGGGTTTCGATACCCGTGGTGGGCAGAGCACAGATAGCCCATTGTGTAGCCTTGTGCCTAACTTCAAACAAATGTTACGTCTCCGTTTGTTAATTAACTTTCCGTAACTTCGTTACGACGAAACTTAAGCGGAAC